TGATATTGTACCGTCGTTTCACATCATCGAAGAAGCCGTACATTTTGTTGATGCTCGCACACTCGTGGTTGCCGCGCAGCAGAAAGAAGTTCTCCGGGTAGATGATTTTGTAGCAGAACATGAGAGTGATTGTTTCCACACTGTGCTTGCCGCGGTCTACGTAGTCCCCCAGGAACAGGTAGTTCGAGTACGGTGGGAACCCACACTTCTCGAATATGCGTAGCAGATCGTAGTACTGCCCGTGTATGTCGCCACAGAGGCGTACAGGTGGGCGGATCTCTAGTAACATTGGCTGTGACATGAATACGTCGCGTACCTCCGTGATAATATTGCGTATATCGTCCTCACGAATAAGGATCTGTCGTTGAGTGGCACTCCCCTTCGCAGTGAGCAACCTCTCTATGAGGTTTTGGACCAGGGCCATGTTGCCGTTTTAAATGGTTGACGGACAAGATGTTCTCTACGTTTATTCCCCTCAAAAGGAGAATATATTTGCTCCCAATGTCCCGTTGGGACCCTCTATGTTGCGTTTAGCTGACGAAGACGGCTGTGGAATTTAGTGTAATGCAAGAGAATGGGGAAAGCTTGCAGAGGGAACTTGATAGGATCCTTGGAGACCTGCGGGTTAAATTCACGTAGACGTTTCCGTCCACTCCAATTTGTTTAGTAAGCACGAAAAACCAAAAAAAAACAAGCAATAACGTACGCGACGTTGCCAAGACCTATCGTCGCACCACTATTCATACACTTCTTCTTTGTAGTATTCACGCCGGCTATTAGGGTCGTTTAGATCGGCGTAGGGTGTGTATGACACCGAAATGAGGAGGAAGCGTGTGGTGTTGTAGAAGGACCGCCACATACGTGTGGACCACGGGAGGACGGCCCGCAAGCGTTTGACACGCATGCCGACGTCATCGCCTTCAGCAAGCGGGTTCTCCGGCTCTATCCGGACGCTGCTAGCCCGCGCTTCACACCCTTGCTGCCGCTTTTGTTCCCACTCTGCCTCACGGAGCTCCTCTCGAGCACTGGGGAGTTGGTGCCGCACGAACGCTATCCGCTCTCGCAGAGCTTCGCGGCGCCGCAACATTTCTTTTGCCCCGGCGGCGTGGCGCGTCTCATGGCAACGCCGCAGCTCTTCCTCCCGTTGTTGAACTTCCTTTGTCATGGCGTACACCTCATTGAGCGTGACGACACTGTCGTCACATGGACTCTCATCACTTGTGGATGAAGAGTCGTCGTTGAGCTCTTTGGTGTTGTTGCAATCGTCGCTGCCTACACCAACCAGAATCTCTGTGGATCCGTTGGGGAGCACGGACATGAAGTGCCTTTTCCTCTCAGAACAGAAAGAGAAAGACAAAAAAAAAACATGGCCTCTAAGCAGCGGCAGAGGAAAAAAACAACGACATCACAGAATGAGGAGACCCTCGCCGATCAGAAGGCTAAACCTCCCCTTTTTGTTTGTGAGAATGCTACCACCAGCACCGCCGCCGCCACTGCCGCGGTTTCGGTCGCTGTCTCGCTCACTCCATCTTGCGTTCCGCCTCAGACTCTCTGGTGCCTTCACTCATGCCGCAGTCCGTGGAGGAGGGTGTCCACGTGCGCCAGGTCCACACCGTGCCGCAATTGCCCGGTGACATCTAGACGGCTCCCAATCGATGAGCGGCATAGTGACACTGCACGCAGGACGACGTTTGCCAACAGCTTCGCGTCGACATTCCCGCGACGAAGGTGAACGCGGTGAAGTGGGTCGGCAACGTTGTTGTTTTTCGCGATCGCCAACCGCTCATTGAAGCTTGGGTACACGATGTCGCACACGCGGAATAGCGTGAAACGCAGCGAACAACCGTCCTGAGCAGTCAGCATTGAAGGGGAGCCGTCGTCGTTCAGCAGCAGCCGCTCCTGCTGCCGCGTCGCCTTCAGATATCCATGGCGGTACACAAACACCCTGCGGTACCACTGTAGCGGCGCATTCCACTCCGATCTGTTGAAAAGCGGCACAAGCGCTACGAGGTGGGCATCAACGCACCTGCACGCGTCAATGGTGTGACGCATCCCGCCCACATCCACCTTGCCGCAGCCGGGGTTCGCGCCCCACGTCCACGGCGGTCGCCACCAGTTGCCGCTGCTGCCCTTCGCCGACGCGACGTACACGACGAGTGACGCCTGCCGCACCGCGTGCCGCACCGCCTCTGCGCACGTCACGTCACCCTGCACGATCTCCAACTGCAGCTGCCCCGCCGCCTTTGCCTTTGCGCGGCCAGTGTAACGCAGCGAGCAGCGACCGCTGCCGCCAGGCACATCTTCGACACGCTCCGCCACAAGAGCGGAAACGTCGGCAACACTGCGCTCGTACAGCGTGACAAAAGAAGCCTTCGCCTTATCGATGTCCCGCGCGAGAACCGTTACGCTGATGCCGCGGCGGAGGCACTGATCCGCGAGAACACGTGCAAAGAAACCGGTACCACCCACAAGCGTCACCGTCATACCACCAATACCCGCATCACCACCAGCAAGTGTCCCAATGTCCGCGCGCACATCGGCAATGTTGCGCCATGGAAAACACAGGTAGTGGCGCGCCGTTTCCCGCAGTGTAGCGTTGTTGCCCGTTACTCCTTCTGCTGCTCGGCTCCGCAACACTTCGGCTTCTTGACGCGTGCTCTCCTCCCGCATTACGCTGTGGAGCGGTGACGCGACACTCTGCAGCACACGCGCCTCGATTACTGCCCTAATGTCCCGCCGCCGCTCCATCTCCCTTCACCCCTCCCAGCGAGTGCGTGTTGGTGTGTCTGCCCTCACACAGCGACGAGCAAGGACACCACAGTGCAGTGGAATGAAGTGGGGAAACGTGAAACACATAAGAGAAAAAGGGAGGAGAAAAGTGACCGCTCGTCGTCCGTCCAGCCAATAAAAGCGGAGTCAGTACAACTGACACACAGAGACACAAAACAAGAACACGTAGTCAGAGTCACACCATCGGTACGCGCAATTCCCACGTTTCTCTGTGATTGTGCAGGCGCTACGGCTGCGTCGCCGTTTCTGTTGTTTCTACACTGTGCATGGCTGCCTGCATCATTTTTTTGCAGCGCCCCTCCGGCTCCGCAGCAACGAGTTTCTCGATGAGGTCTGGCCGCTCAGCGATGTGGGCCCCTTTTGCGCACGCCACCCGCACCACATCGCTCTTGTGTTCCTTGTATGCGTCAAAGACCTCTTCGACAAAGCGGTCGTGGCCCAAAAGCGCGAGGTAGAGAATGGTGTACGCGAGCTGGCCAACGACGCGGTTGGAGCTTAGCTGGTCCTCGGAGACTCTGAACACGCGCTCCACGTCGGGCGCCCGGGCGGCTGCAGCGCTGAGGAACTTGAGCTCCTGCAGCAGCTCCGTCACCCCCTTCGTTGTGGTCTCCCTCGCCAGCGCAGCGAGCACGTCGACGGGCATATCAAGCGGATACGATGTGCCCATAACGTCGTTGAAGCGCTGCACAAGCGGCCTGCCGCCACACAGGCGTGTATTTTGCGGGTAGTTGACGGTGCAGAAGATGGGGACCTCCAGTAGGATCTCCTCGTTGTCGCCCGCGTCGAGGCACGCGAGGCGGTGATCCACCTGAAGGTCGAGGCGTGTGTGGAACATCAGCAGTGACTTGGAGTAGACGCTGCGAAAGGCGGCCATGCGCAGCGGCGTGCCGTCGAGGTGCTCGTTGCCGTCGCTCAGCAGCAGCGGCCAGCCGAACACGAAGGCATTTGCCTTCATCATCTTGTCTTCCACAAGGCGGAAGTGCGGAGAGGTGCCCAAGAAGACGTTGTGTTCGCAAGAGTAGTCCATCTCAATGCTCTTTGGATCGCGGCGGCGCATGTCTTCAACGAAGCGCTCTTTCACACTGGCGGGGCTCAGCGTGGCGCCAAGCGTCTCGTTCGTTGCCGTCTCGATGGCATTTTGTACGGATTCGTAGTACGGAAGGTACTTCTTCATGTGCTGTGCATCCACGTCGAGGAACTCACCAAAGATGCGCTTCAGTGAGTCGATGGTGGGCCGCACGGCGTGCCACAGCAGCGGCGGGAAGTGGTCAGAAAGCTGCACGAGCAGCTTCTCCGCGGGGCTGTTGTGGTCCCAGAGCAGCCTACACGGGTGCTGTGGCTCATTCACGACGGGGGCGTCCTCGCGGTCGGGGAACGCGAAGGCCTCGCCGATGACGGTGTACTCCGCGTCCTCGCTGCCGAGGCACAGCCGGCGTCGCACAATGCTGCTCATTTGCGCCGGGTCCCACACCTCCTTGTCGAAGCAGAAGCGCCGTTTGCGCCACGCGAGCTCGTCGTAGATCTTCACGTCGTATGAGATGGCCTTCTCCGACTGCTTGGCGTCGCTGCGCAGCTGCGAAATCCAGGCAGGCGGCTGCGGTCGGTTGCTGCTGCTGCAACGCAAAGAGAAGTGGAGCGTCACCGCCGCGCCGCCGCACAGGCGCCGCCTCCACATATCTTTTTTTTCTGCCTTTTGTTCTTTTTCCTGGTCCTTTGTCGTCGTTTTTGGCGTCACCGAAGGAGCGGCCGACGTGCAAAGTAACAAAAACGAAGGGAGACACAACAAACAAAAACGAAAAACAACAGGAACTTTCATCTCATGACGGCTCAGCATCCTGCCAGGTACATTTCCACCTGGTGCACCAATCCCCCCCACCCTCCTCCCCCGCCTTATTCTCTTTCCCTCTTCATGGGCCCATGGCACTCTTACACGAATAGCCTCCTGCTTTGAGAAGCCCATCACAATTGGATTTGTGGCGCGCGTTTAAACGACGGATTCATACTCACACTCACCTAGACGAAGAGCAGCGCGTCATTGCCCTCATCCTCTGGCTCACGGTACGCGACTGTTGGCAGCTGCGATTTCGACATGGGCCGTGTTACCTCTGCAGTGAATAGACGCGCGTACGTCTTCTCATACCGCAGCGGCGCCTGATCTTCCGCAGTGCTGGCAAAGGCCGACACCATCAGCGGCACTGTCGGGATGAAGTGCCGCTCCAACGCAGTGAGCTCCCACAGTGTGCTGTGCAGCGCGTGGCACTGCTCGGGGCTCGCCTCTGGCAGAAATGGATCGTTGCCATCGAAGAGTGTCGCCGTCAGCCGCAGTGCCTCCTTTTTGGCGTCCTCAGCTGCCGATGCTGCCGCCGCTGGATTTACGCCTTTCTCGCCATCGTCGTCTGGCACGACTGCCTCCTTTGTGGAGCGGTGTATGAGCGCCAGACAGTTGGGGTGCCGCTGCAGAACTTTGCGGATGAACGGCAGAACAAAGTACAGCACTGGGGCGGGAGACAGCATTGCTACACGTGCCGTTTTCTTCACGAACGCTGCCGCAATGTACGATGGCACCCGCACGGAACTCATGGAGATATCCAGTAGGCGGAAGAGGTCGTAGCGGTGGCGAGAGGCGAAGGCGTCGGCTGTAAGGAGCGTATAGAGCTGTTGGTAGTACTGCGGGTACTCCAGGCCGTGATCGAGCATGAGAAGGAAGATACCGTGCAGCGCAAGCACCGCGACGAGGCCGCCACTGGCAAAGCAGCCGCTCAAGTAGTCGGCGACGACGAGCGGGTTGGTGAGGTGCGGCAGAATGACGTCGCCAATACGGTGCAGCAGGTGCAGGTGCAGTGCGGCCGCCGCGGCGTGTTGCAGACACGGCATCCACAGCGCGGTGAAGTAGTGCCGATGGGCGCGCTCGGAGAAGACGGAAAGAACGGACGTCAGCAGCGCCTTGCGCCGCTCCGCCGCGTTGGCGTGCACGTACGCGTCACTCGCCTCGTACTGCGCCTTCTCGCGACGCAGGAACCCCCACTGCAAGCGGAGGCGCGAGAGGTCCGGCAGCACACGGCCGTAAAAGAGCACGAAGACGTTCACAACGAGCACCGGAAGCACCGTGTCGCCGTCACGCGCGCGCTTCTTCGCGGCACGCTCTAACATTGACGCGGCGGCGCGGTACAAGAAGAACCACACATCGTCTCCGATGTCCGCCTTCTCCAGCGACTCGCGCAGTTGCGCCACCTGCGGACTGCACTCTGCCGGACTGACGTGGTCGCGTACCGGCTTCACCTGCGTGGTGCGCAGGCAGCCTTCCAGAAGGGGACGCACCGCTGCGTCGAAGCACTCGCACAGTTCTTGGTACGCCGTGCACCGCCCACACCGTTTCAGTGCAGCGGCAAATTTCGCCTCCATGACTTCTGCTGCAACTAAAGTCGCTCCGCCACCTACGGCAGAATCTTAAACTGTATCTAGAGACAGCCCGCAATAAAAACAACAAGAATACAGTAATTTAAAGGGCGCCCCAATAGAGGCAGAAGGAGGCTCTACGACAACACATCCACTAACTGCAGAGATGTACGCTTCTTTGTTGCCCTTGTTCCCGTTCCTTTTGTGCACGGAGCCTTCTGTTTTCCTATCCCTTCACCGTTAAGCCAACCGTGCTTTCAGCCATTGTGCAAGTTAAGCAGTTCTGTGATAAGGCTGGGGCAGGGGTTCGGTTTAATGTCGATTCGCGTCAGTTGCGCCACGACAACCGTCACGTCGTCCTGCTTGCCGCCGGTGTAGCGGTAACCCGCAGCCTTGGCGTGCTTCGCGAAGGGGGACTCGAACTTTGCATCGGCACCATTCCTGCATGCCTTCTCCGCCAGAACCTCCGCAACACGCTGGCAGCCGTCGCGGTCAACATCCTCGAGGTTGCGCAGAATCTCCGGCATGTCGATGTTGTCAAGCAGCCCGTCGCTGGCGCAGAGAAACACGTCACCTTCGCTGACCTCAAGCTTTGTACGGTCGCCGGCGGACGGTGGGTCCTCCGGAAGCTGGAACGGGCAGTTAAAGCGATGCTGCTGCGCCTCGGTGGCGAAGACCAGTTTGGAGCTGCGCAGGCAAATTGTGCCGCAGTCACCAAGATTCAGCACCGACGCGAAACGCCCGTCGACAAGCGTCACGAGCGTCACCGGACAGCCGCCGGGTTTCCCCTCCCGCTGCGCCGCCGTGTAGCCGTGGTTGAGTGCCTGCAGCGCGGTGAGGCCGCCGCGGTTGCCATCCTCCTCGAGCGCCTGCTTCGTAAAACGCATGACGTTCCGCGTATACACGGCGGGGTCGACGCCGAGCTGCGCGTAGCCACCGACACCGTCCGCGACACCAATGCCACACGCGTGCACGAGAAACGCGTCCTCGCCGCCACGGCTGGCCTTTGCCGGATGGGGCACCGCGCATACGCCGCGACAGCCGAACCACAACAGCGGCTGTTGTGGCGCCGCGGCGGCAAGGAGGCGGCGCGAGCAAGCAAGCATAGCCCTGGCTGTTACTCTGGAGGGGCAGAGCGTCCGTGCGCTCGACGAGGCAGGATAGAAAAAATAGAGCAAGACACAGAGAGGGAGAGCGAGAATGTAGTGCGTGGTGACGATGCAACCGCTATCATCATCATCATCATCCCCTCCAGCAGCATCCAAAACACCACTGCCAGGCACCAGCCAGCATCTCAATCCGTCGGCGGCCCATAGACCAAACAACAGCCGTCCCCCTTTGTATTCATACAAATGTGTGTGTGTGTGTGTGTGCGGGTGTCCGTGCATGCAAGTATGTATGGTCCCTTACTTTATCCGCTCCTCTTGGATCGTTCCGTCGGCAAATGTCGTCACGCGCACTCCGTCCGCACGGTCAAGGATGGAGGTGTTGTTTGGGTAAGCGTAGAGCGTACTGCCATCCGAAAAGACTGTTGTGGTGAGGTCGCTCTTCTTGAATACCCTTGTACCGTCGGGCCGAAGGAGCGTCACGTCACCATTCCGGTACGTGTATTGCCACGTGCCGTCCGCTAGATGCGTGCATTGCGGATCCTGCTCGGCCACGGCACCCGTCGCCGCAGCACCTGTTTTTGACTCTTGTGCTGCATCGGCAGTTTGCGCCTGTCCCTCTTTCTGTGGTGCATTCTCAACCACCCCACTAGTTCCGCTGCCACGGCCACCTGCTGCTGGTGTTGTGATTTCAACCGTGTCCGACATAAGGATAGTTGCGCCGCTGTCGTGCAGCTTCTTCATCGCTTCCAAGGCTGCATTGCGCTCCAACTTGGCACGGTGAGCACCTATCTTTTCCTCGCGGTCAGCGGAAGTGTAGTATGCCTCTGCCTTCTGCCACTGCTGGAGGACAAATCCCCAGTTCATGTTTGCCACCGCCTCCAGGGCGACTTGCGCACGAATCGCGGCGAGATCGTCTTCCACCGTTGCAGCAGCCACTCTTGTGGCAGCAGCGGCAGGCGGGTTGCGCGCCGCCCGAGACCACGACGGCGGCGTGACGTGTGCGCTCGCCGGGCCTGTTTCCGCTGTCATCTTAGCGAGTAGCGCGCTCTCCGTCATGTTGACCACCGCCAGCGGCCACAGTCCCTGAACCAGCGGCGCTCGGTTGCACGGCATATTCACCACGACGAGTCGGTGCCCGTCGAGCCGCTCCCTATCGTACAC